AAAAAAAAAAAAAAAAAAAAAAAAAAAAAAAAAAAAAAAAAAAATCATTTAGACAAATTTATTTTGGATTTCAGTCCTCTGGCACTAGTATCAACTGGTCATTTTGATGACATCGGAGTATTTGTAGGGGGAATTTCGATGATGTGTTGACTTAATAGTGGATTTCATATTGATTTGATGTTAGGTTCTTTTTCAGCAAATGCAGTTAATTGTCTGTTTCTTTTTCATTTAAGTGCTCATTTGGAGAATATTTAAATGTCATGTATTTGAGACCATTGGTTTCTGATGCTTGCATTAGGTATTATATTGTTTTCTTTATGGAATCAACTTCAGCACCTTTAAACCTTTTTCTAATTTACACTTTAGAAAAGATTAATAAGTTCCACTCGTGTTTCTTCACACAATAAATCTTCCTTTCTTTGTTGGTTCTTTTTATTTTTCCTTTGTGCTCTTCCCTGTTGAAGAAGACATTGCACTCAAATAATGAGCTTTATGAATGCAGCACCAGAAGAATTTATGCCGTCCTTATTGTTAGGAGTGACATCTTTCGCAATTGAGCATGTCATTCAAAGGTTTCACATTGTCGTTGGAACTTGAAAAATTAATGACCTTTGAGGTTTCATCGTATAAATTTGATTGCCCATACACAGAGAGGGTAAAATTCTCATCCAGACATTAAAGGAAAAAAGAGAGAGCCTATTTGAAGTAGAATAGAAAGTCAATTTTTTTGAACTTGTGTCTGGGAGAAATTTTTCCCCAAGTCCATAACTTTCTTTTGCAATTTTGCAGGCAGAACCTTCTCCCACCACAGGTTCCTTTTTCAAGCCCCATTTGATGCAAGGAAATGGTGAAACTTCAGTCTTGCCATTGGAAAATAATTGTTCTGGTGGCAATAGTATTGATGAAAGAATGCCCAGCAATTTCGAGTTTAATTTTCACACTGGATCTAGTTGTGCATCAGGATTATCATCCAAAGGACCAATGGTAATACCCTAGAATTTGCTACTTGGTTGATAGGATGCCCTTGTCATTGACATAATTTTCCTTTTCCAAAAAATCCTCTCGAGGGAAAAATGATTAAAAGCAAAATAGGTTTGAATGAAATAGTGAAATGATACCAGTATTTATAGTGCTGAATGTTGGGCCAATCATGGACGTAATATTTATAAGATAAATTTAGGGCAAATTAGGATGTTAAGATGGCTGTATTGTCAGGCTAGAACGGATAAGATAAGAAGCGATAATACACCCCCAACAAACTGGAAGTAGCACCAATTGAGAATTAATTAGGGGAATGATGAGTTAGATACGGAGTGGTTGAGTTTTGTTAGTGATTCTAAAGAATATCCCCTGCACAAGACAAGAGCGATGTGATATCACTAGAACAAGTTATTAGAGGCTGGATAAAGCTTCATTTTTTCTGTTCCTTTTTTCAAGATAAATTCAAATCCACTTTTACATTTTTGGATAGATTTTCTGGACGTTCAACTCAGAGCCCTTTTAACCATGCATTATTTGCTTCATCTCCCAATTCTTAATTCTTGATGATCATAGCTAAAATGCAAATTTTGAACCTTGTTTTACGAATATTTGCGCTGATTTCGGCCTTTGGGTTTCATTCTACTGTGTCAAAGATTCCTGCAGGTTTGAATGGGACGCAGACTGGACCCTACAGTCGAGTTCACGATCCTTGCTTTCTGCAGAATCCAGCACCTTCACATATGGCTACACGTGAGCTGCCAAGTTCAATAGTATTTGGACCATCTACACTTAAGAACACACATGGTTCATCGTCTTGTGGAACTGTTGATGAATTGAACCAGGGAGGTTACTTCAATACAGACATCCAAGTGTCGCCTTCTGATCATAAAGATGGCATCTCAATAACATCTGAGAGAACATTAGATGATGGGTACAACTGGAGAAAATACGGGCAGAAACTCGTTAAAGGAAGCGAATTTCCTCGAAGCTATTATAAATGTACATATCCAAGCTGTGAGGTGAAAAAGATTTTTGAACGTTCGACAAATGGACAGATAACAGAAATTGTCTATAAGGGTTCACATGATCATCCGAAACCTCAACCTGCCCGCAGACACAATCCTGGTGCCCTTATGTCCATTCAAGAGGATAAAATGGACAATGATGTATCAGGGATTGGTCACGAGGGTAACTAAACTAGCTCTTATGATGATTTTTACTTTGTTATAGTGCAAATTTTTGGTAGTCTTATCGTGCTTTATTTTTTTACACGTGCAAAAATGTTCACTCTTAATACTATTACTTATTTCTGAACTTTGTTGAAGACAAGCAGAGCACCAATAGTCTGACTGGTAACATGGACCCAAATATCTCCCCAGTGCTGTCTCCTCAGCTATTAAATGAGGATGGTCTAAAAGGTGCAGGTTCACGACTTCAAGGCACTAATGATGACATTGATGAAGATGATACCTTTTCAAAGCGAAGGTAATACAATTTTACAAATGCCTTAAATCTATTAAACTTATTTTAAAAATAATATCTATTGCTTAAAAATCTGAGCAGGAAGATAGAGGATGGTCTTGATCTGAAAACAATTGTTAAGCCCATTCGTGAACCACGAGTTGTTGTTCAAACTGTGAGTGAGGTTGATATATTGGATGATGGGTATCGATGGCGGAAGTATGGGCAGAAAGTAGTCCGAGGCAATCCAAATCCCAGGTGTGTGAATATATGTTAAATCATATTGCAGAAGTTTGAATATCAAGTAATATCCCATTTTGGACACGATTTATTCAATATTACCCCCTCCAGTTTTGACATAAAATGCCTATGCTTTATTGATTAGGCAGTAGGTAGTTCACCGCTTCTGTTTCAGTCTGTTCACAGTTTTAATTGCTGACCTAGATGACTCGTCCAAATTTCAAGAGAATTCACTTATTTACCATCGGTATCAACTGTGCCATGTATTTGTGGTAATTTTCGAAGACGCCCACCCCCATTTTCTAAAATTACAAATCAATATCATGGGGATAATTGTAGAAAATGGAAAGGAAATGGGTCTCTATCCATTAGTTATCTCAGGTCTCCTGGAATTGACTCTACTTTCCAACTGCATATGAAATATTTGATCTAGACATTATTAGGTACTGTAGGTTTCCTTATTTTACTTCGATAGAGCTTTGGATCTTTCATTGCCTCTCCTTCAAAGCGTGAGAGAGTTTTCCTTGTTGAATTGCGTCCTTCATCTTAGTTCTACTTTTTTAGCAAATCTGCAACGTATTCGGATTGAGACAAGCATAATCAAGAGCATCCTTGTGAGCTTTCAATCCAAGGAAGTTGTGTAATGATCCAAACTCTTTCAATATTACTATGAACTGTCTAATAGGGTTATTAGGATGTCTGACCTTGAGCCTTTAGTTTTCCCATATCATCGCTGAGACGCCATAAATATGGCAATACTCTAGTCACTGCTGTATCTTTTTCAAGAACAATTCCATCCCAGCAATATCGAACTAGGAAGAAAGAAAGTAAAATGCCTGTGCAATTTTCCATATTGAGAAAGCATCACTTCTCCCTAAACTGGGAACGCCTTAAGATGGTCTGTTGCTGTTAGCTGAATCATGGCTTTAATTCTCTTTATGATTAATACTAGCATATAGAATGGCCTTTTTCATTTGTAGCAACCTGTTGCTCGTAGCCATGTCAAGCCTGCTTTACTAATTCGCACGTTGACCAGAAGTCGCGATAGGATCAGCTTTGCTTAAATTTTTTCTGTACATATACGTGCAATCAAACCTGCAATATTTTGTAGCACAAGAAATGCAGTTATACTTAAATCTACCATGCAGGAGTTATTACAAGTGCACTAGTACTGGTTGCCCAGTCAGGAAACACGTCGAAAGGGCTTCCCACGACCCCAAAGCAGTTATAACTACATATGAGGGTAAGCACAATCACAATGTTCCAAATGTCAAGACCAGCAACCATGAATTTTCTTCACACCCAGGCTAGTGTAACCTCATGAACCAGGCCAGAAGATAATTCGACCGGCCTTAATCTTGGTGTTGGATATAACAGCATAGTAGAGAATAGAACTAATGAACAAAACCCAGCATGCTATGGTATTGTAAATGGTGGCTTGAATCTGCATGGAAATAGAGAAAATGCTGTTGAAGCTCATAAGTTTCAGACACACCCTATATACCCTTTTCATCAATGTCCTCAAAATCTGGGAAGAGTAGTCATGGGCCTACAATTGTAAACCGACTTTTTAGAAAATATATATTATACAGAAATTCAACTTTTATTTTTCAGTTGTTTGGTTAGTGAAAGTCTGTAGCTCAAGGTAAATTACTAATGCTTCAATAGCTTGCACATTAGACTGTATTGGGTAATACAATGAATACGATAATAGCCATTGATGGCAATTATTTGTTACTCTCTTGCTTTAGTTTAATCCGAACAAGCTTCACAAAAGAAGAGTCTCATTCGAAACATCAGGAGGACATGATCACCGAGAAAAATCATTTTGTATCCATATGCTTCAAGTCAACAAATGTGTAGTGCCCTTCAATGCAACTAAGAAAACATTTATTCCTCCAATACAATTTTAGTCCATTCGTCCTCATGGATGACCTATCTCAAAACTATTTCCTCTAAAAAAAAGTTCAGAATGTTAAATGAGAATATCGACATTCTATCCAACAAATGCATCCACTGTCCAGTTAAGAGCTTTACATTCTCCTATAAGCCTTGAGAGACCAAAGTACTTCTCACATACAAGATGGTTTCAGCAATTGCAGAACATAAAGCAATTCTCTAGAACAATCTTTAAACTTTTCAAGTTTCTTTTTATCTAGAAGAGGTATTCTCACTGGTAATGGGCTGTACACAAGATTATATGGACCTAGCTCATGACATTCTTCGGCAATTACTCTCTGGATAATCAATTTTGTCATTCATTTTATCCACAAATATATATAAACAAAGCGACCTCGACCAGTACGAATGCCTCATCAAGAAAATACAGCTATCTTTGTCAACTATTACAATAAAACCACTATACAAGAAAATGGTCATCAGAGAGCAGTAACTATGTCACAGATCCAGATTCATCAAGTCGAGATTAATATTCTAACAGAAAGGTGTAGCAGTCATTGATACAGAATTCTATTATCATTCCCAATGTTGAAAGGATCAATAGCCAAACCTTAGGCAATAGATTCAAGAAAGTAACCATTGGTGTTCTAACAAGGCGCAATTTAATCAAAGAGTAAACAAGAATTAAAGAGGCCAAGTAGTTCAGCGATTACACATTGAAATAACTAGCCTTTCAAAAAAAAGCAATTCAGAACACGATTTGGTTATTGGGAGTAACATGAAAACATGCAAATGCTCTTACGAAATAGCATAAGATTAAAGTAACTTGCCAAAGTTTTCTAAGCTTCTCATTGAATTTATGTAAAGAGGAAGCATCAGATAAACCCTAGATAGCATGTTTCTTGTACTTGGCAACATCGCCTTCATTTGGGAAAAATCCCATAAGCCTTCCAGCCGAATTTTGGTATGCGTACATGAAACCTCCCATCGCCCCTATCAAACCACCTGTCACCATTGATGGCCCCCTTATCCCCGGCTTAATTCCTAGTATCAATTTCAAAAGAAAAAAGACAATCAACACACACTTCTTTTTCAACTAATCGAGAAGAAAAAGGCGGAGGTAAGTGCAAAAGCTCAACCTTTTTCTTTTAATTTCAAACTCATCACCAGAGTTTCAATTTTGATTCAGTTCGATCATCAATAACATTCTGCCTCAAATGAGGACCTCCTTTTCTACTTGGCAAACATATTTTCTTACTAGAGAAATATGGAAGTCAATAGAGCTTGTTATCCTCTTGACCGTTTGTTCGATGATCACACCTTTTAACTTGTGAAATTCCCTGCTTAGAGCCTATAGATAAATTTGCCTTCCTATAGCACGAATTTCAAGTAAAAGGCGGGAGTTTGCATCGGCATCTAGCCGCAGACCGTTAAGAAGAGTTGACATAACAAAACCTATCTTGTGGAAAATGTCAAAACAAAATTGAAACTTTACTGGCGAATCTAGAAAAAGTAACTAGAATCGAATTTCCAACAGATCTAAATGGATAGGAATCGATAAAACATTCCTAGAAACAGAATTCCGGCACTTAGACTAATTAAGGTATAAGGTTTTGTAAATTTCGCTAAAAGTTGAGTGACATCCAGTATTTTTTTCTCCCCAATTGATTACGAATTGGAAATGAGGAATGAGTAGTTAAAAGTACCGGAGAGGTACCCAACGACGACGGAGACGCCGGTGATGGTGGTGAGACGGAGGTAATCGAGGGTGTTGAAATTAGCCACCGTCTTCGTAAAGGGAGGATTCCGATCTATAACTGGATACTCCGGCTTTGCCGATGCCGTAATGTCTGTATTCATCTTCTTACTCTCGATCGAATGGGATTTAGGTTTTAGAAAATGGGAGTTGAATCCGCCATTTTTGTTCAGTATCAAACGTACTGAGCTTAGCTGTGAATATGGGCTGGGCTAATTTCGGTTAACGTTGTTTAGATTTAGATTTTGCCTTTGGGCCGTATGGTATGTTTGGCTAACGTTGAAAATGAGAAAGTTGTTTCCAACTTTCGGCACATTTTCATTTTGTCGGGTTATCATTCATCTCCACCCGGCTTGACACTATATAGAGGAAAACAAATGACCTTACATCCGAAAGATTACATCAACGACATACTTCAGATATTTCCATACAAAGAATTAAGAAATGTATTATAAAATCTTAGACAGGGACGAATCAAGGTTTGAATTCAAGACTGGGCTAAAAACATTTCAAGCCGAGCTAATACGTGAAAAAAAATTGAGAAAATTACCCAATAATAGGTGTTTAAAGATTGTAAATCAAAAATCAGGGTAGAAGTTTTATTTTTCACAAATCAGGTATGCCAAACCCCACCCCACCCTCTCTCTCTCTCTTCTAACCCCCGCCGCACTCACCCCACTCTCTCTCCTCACTTCCTCAAGCAGAGTCGGAACCACCGCCTCCGTTAGCAGCGGCGACAAACCACCTCTTCATTCGTTCACCCCATTCACTCATCCCTTCATCCACCCCATTTTTCCCCATGAACTGGTTCATGCCGATGACGAACCACCTCCATTCACAACACCAGATCGTCACTTCTCTCAGAGCTAGCACATTTTTCCCCATTTTCCCATTCAATAGAGGCTGGCGGCGAATACCACCGGAAGTTGGAAGCACAGATCGTCGCTTCCCCGTCTTCTGACGATGAGTGGCGAACTACCTCTACTCCCAACAACCGCTTTTTCGATGTTCGTGGCTGAGAGTAGACAACGTTTGTGGTTGAATGTAGTTTATGGGTTCTGATTTGAGGCGGTGGTGGTGGTGCCGACCGACAGATTTGGAGGCCGGCTTTGCCGATGCCGTAATGTCTGTATTCATCTTCTTACTCTCGATCGAATGGGATTTAGGTTTTAGAAAATGGGAGTTGAATCCGCCATTTTTGTTCAGTATCAAACGTACTGAGCTTAGCTGTGAATATGGGCTGGGCTAATTTCGGTTAACGTTGTTTAGATTTAGATTTTGCCTTTGGGCCGTATGGTATGTTTGGCTAACGTTGAAAATGAGAAAGTTGTTTCCAACTTTCGGCACATTTTCATTTTGTCGGGTTATCATTCATCTCCACCCGGCTTGACACTATATAGAGGAAAACAAATGACCTTACATCCGAAAGATTACATCAACGACATACTTCAGATATTTCCATACAAAGAATTAAGAAATGTATTATAAAATCTTAGACAGGGACGAATCAAGGTTTGAATTCAAGACTGGGCTAAAAACATTTCAAGCCGAGCTAATACGTGAAAAAAAATTGAGAAAATTACCCAATAATAGGTGTTTAAAGATTGTAAATCAAAAATCAGGGTAGAAGTTTTATTTTTCACAAATCAGGTATGCCAAACCCCACCCCACCCTCTCTCTCTCTCTTCTAACCCCCGCCGCACTCACCCCACTCTCTCTCCTCACTTCCTCAAGCAGAGTCGGAACCACCGCCTCCGTTAGCAGCGGCGACAAACCACCTCTTCATTCGTTCACCCCATTCACTCATCCCTTCATCCACCCCATTTTTCCCCATGAACTGGTTCATGCCGATGACGAACCACCTCCATTCACAACACCAGATCGTCACTTCTCTCAGAGCTAGCACATTTTTCCCCATTTTCCCATTCAATAGAGGCTGGCGGCGAATACCACCGGAAGTTGGAAGCACAGATCGTCGCTTCCCCGTCTTCTGACGATGAGTGGCGAACTACCTCTACTCCCAACAACCGCTTTTTCGATGTTCGTGGCTGAGAGTAGACAACGTTTGTGGTTGAATGTAGTTTATGGGTTCTGATTTGAGGCGGTGGTGGTGGTGCCGACCGACAGATTTGGAGGTTTTTTTTTTTTTTTTTTTTTTTTTTGGAATTTGAGGTGGTGGCAGTGTTTTTGTTGGATGTGGTGGTGGCGATGATGGTGGATCTAACGGTTGGCTGTGATTTTTGTTGGTGGTGGCGGTAGTGGTGAATCTAACTGCTGCGGTGGTTTTTGTTGAATCTGGTTGCTGTGATGGTTTTCGACGGTGGTCCTGATTTTTTTTAGTGTTGGTGTTCGCATCGATGACGGGGTGAGGGTGGTTGCAAGTGGCCGTAATGGCAGTGGCTGTGCGATAGTGTTGGTGGTAGTGGTTAGTAACCATATGTGACCAACCATTTAGTTATCTGTGACCATATGACCTAAACGTTTGGTAATCTGTGACCACCATGATGGTAGTGACGGTGCGATAGTGTTGGTGGTAGTGGTCTGTGACCACTATTTGACGTATGTGACCAACCATTTAATTATTTATGACGACGTGACCTAAAAATTTTATAATTTGTGATCAATTAATGTGATCTCAAAATAATTTTTGACCCATAAATTTTTAGATCTGTGATCAAAGAAATAAATTGTGACCTATAAAATTTTTGATTTGTGACCTCGAAATAATATGCGACTAATTAATTTGACGATTTGTGATCTATAAACCTTTTAATTTGTGGCCTATAATGATGTCTCTGTGACATCATTATTTTTTAATTAACTAAATATATACTTGATTTTTGAATTTTTAAACAATCTACCTCATTCTTGAATTGGTATAAAGAATACTCCTGAATTATGAACTTTTTCCAAAAAAATTTTACTCATTAAAAATCTATTTTTACAAAAAAAAAAAAAATTAAAGAAAATTACCCTAAACAAAAATTAATTGGACTTGGTGGGTGCGTGTGGGGGGGGGGGGAACAGCCCAACCAATCCCCCCCCTAAATCCGTCCCTGAATTCTTATGGAAACATTAGAGAACAATATTACATTTTTAAAGTGGATTACCCATTTTGGACACTCTTATATAAGGGCTTATGTGCCCGAAGAGTAATTCTTTTTAAGTTGAAGAGTTCCCATTTTGTCCATTCTTATTCGCCTTTTAATTTTCCTTGTGAGGTCTTGTGAATATAGCCTGATTTGATTTTGCTAAAAATCGAATTCTTAGTAGATTTTAATAAATCGTACGGTTGAAAAGTCGTGGATCTCAGGAATTGTATAATTACAATTAATTGTTGACTTTAACTTAAATTTTCGTACGATAATAATTAATTGTATGGTCTTCAATTTGCCCCACATATGCCGACTACATTAATTTTTTTATAAAAAGGGAATTGACACATTCACAAGTTTTACAAATTGTAGCCGGCAATATTTGAATATATGACCTTTGTGTACTGCTCTAATACCATTTTAACCCATACCCCGGAGAAATACTTCGGTAAGACAGTTGCACCGCTCACGTGGTGGTGCAACTGTCCTATAAGGGAGGGCCACCCGTTGAGGTGGCGCTTCGGCATTTACTGAAGTATTTCTCCATACTCTGAGGCGTTTCCTCATAGCCCCTCGGTTCAAAAAAATTGTGCTACTTCATCAGATAAAAACCAAAAACCATCACTGTTATATTTCAACATATGAAGGCAAAAACCAAATCAGCGAAGACATCAAAGATTTTCTTCATATTAAAAACCTCGCTGAACAATGTAAGAGTTTCCTAATACATAATCCAGTGTACCACAATCATACAATGCCATGGTACAAGAAAACGTAAAATTGCAGCCCTCTAGATTCTGATTAAAAAATGAATAAGAGATTATCCAGTAGCAACAAATATTTACATCGGTATATAAAGAAGTATTTCGATATGAATTCAATTTGTTATGTGAAAGTACTAGTAATCACTGTCATGAAGTTACTTAGTCTATTATCGACAAATTCTTATATTACTAGACATTAAGATATCTATCCTCCTTCTGTAAGCGAAATTTCAAAAAGAAAAGGCAAATTTCGGAGATTCCTTCTATGTCATATTCTTCGGATGTCTCTTTCTATACCAATATGTACTTGCAGAATAAATTTTGATTCCTCGGAAAAGCAGAAAAAGAGCCATGATCTGTCAAACTAAAGATGTTGCCTTTTAAAACCCAAACTTCATAAACTCTATAGTTCTTGAGTATTTATTCTGGATCTATATGACTGCAGAAATGCTACTAGCAACTGCAGATGCAAAAGGGCTGTCAGGAAGATGCAGTCCGCGATTGCTGCAATAATTAAAAAACCAAGAATAAGGAGATGGCAAATGTGAGAAAATAAAAAACTACGTGATTTCTACATCTTCCACAAAATTTTTAATTGTCAAGTTTCGAAAGGAAGCATAAAATACTAGTTCTATAAAACTTAGTATTTTACTAAATAAGTAACTTTTACTTATAAGCCCAACCATATTTAGAAAAAGAGGCTTCCGTACCTCTCTTGATCACTGTAATTTGCAATCGAGGGCTTGGGGTTATCATCACCCGTAGAGCCACTGTTTACAACATCAAACAGATAATTGAAACGCTCAGACGAGAACTTGGAATTATCTGCAAAATTTTGATTTACAATCATTAAGGAACGATGTCGAATGAATAATGTTGATGGAAAGCTAATCAACTTTTGACAGATGCTTATGCTTGTAAATTAAGAAATGACCTTCAGGCATTTTTGGCACATCCACCAAATAACCCGAGCAGGGTTGGTTGATCAGAGGTTTTTGTGCTACCTGGAGCTGTGAGAGATGTAATGCCTCGCGTTCAAGGGCCCATTCACGCTCTTCCATTAGTTGCCTCCTGAGCAGCCTAGAGGATTCCCATCCTGTATTAAATAGAACAAAAACATATGAGATGAGAAATAGCTTCAGCCTGTGGCAGAAAATTATACAAAAAAAGAAAAGCACAACGAGAAGAAAGAGCGCAATTATTAGGAATCAACATATTATTTTAAAAACCAGCCCGAGCATCGGCCCGGAAAAAGTAAAGGTTGAACTTAGGTTGAACAAGTGGTAAAAAAATATCAAAAAATTAGAAACGAAGAAAGTAGAGTTGAACTCAGTGGTTCTTGGTTTGGTTTCAAAATTTTCAACCTTCCAATTTTTACCTAAAACCGGTATGTTTTTGGACCCTGTTCCCAGTTGTTCTGGTTGGACTAGCTAGTCAAGTCCAGTTTTGACAACTTTGACTATATCGGAAAAATGGGAGGATCATTGTGTAAGTACTTTAAGGCATATTTCGGTAAGGTAGATTACATATGATAGGACAATATTCAAGAAGAAAAGAAGCTGCTATTTGGTCGATTATAGTGTCCAATAAGATCTTGTGCTATGTATCAAACATGTAGTTAAAAATTAAGACAGCGAAGTTAAGAATTGCTTTACAAGCATGTACTTCTGAAGTTTGATTCACAAAACTTTATCTTTCCCGTCACTTGAACATACAAAGAAATAGTATGACTTCGTATTTCATAATTATTGCAGTCTCAAAGCTAGTAATGAGGAAGTAAACAAGGCTCGCAGTTAGGTAAAAGCAAATGTCTCACTCTCTAGAAGCTCAGAGTCGATATCTATTGGCTGCGAGTGATAATACATAGGATGCTCAAGTTTTACTTCGTATTTCCTGCATTTTATAAAAAAAAAAAAAGAAATTGTTAAGCAGTAATAGAAGCTACACAATTATCTTAATTTGAGCCTTGTCTAAAATACAGTCACTTCCAATAAAGTAGAGCAGGCGGCATGTAACTGGAAGATCCATAAGTGAATAGAGACCTTGTAGTCTATTAGATCAAGAAATTATTTTGAAGTAGAAAATATACCTATCAACAAGCTTGGACTTTTCTCTATAAGGTTTCACAAGAACACGAGCCCCACAGACATAATGTGGATTTCCCTTGGACAAAATTAACTTAACAGTATCTGCATCCACAAAAGTTACAAAACCAAACATCCTTTTCTGCTGGCAGGGAATTCTCACGTCTTGAACTGGACCAAAAGTACTACAAGAGAATGCAGAACAAGAAGAGAACATTATAATTATGAAAGTTGAGGACAATAAAATAAGCAACAATGCAGATTTAGATAAAATTACTTGAAGTAATTGGATACATCTTCCTCAGTAAAAGTGCTCTCGGCTGGAAATGTTAGATAAATTTGTCGAGAACAGCTAATAGTCAGACCAGGATCATTTCTTTCACCCTGGATGTCAAAGTACTTTGGAGCATCTTCAGCCAGTATTATTGCATGCTGTCCATGAGGCCTGCATATCAAAATTTGAAGACTAGATTATTTATCAACATTGGATATACTAATACACGAATAACGAATGTCAGTAAAGATCTAAATTACACCTGTCAATGAGCCGAATACTATTCTTCAACCTAGCAAGAAGTTTAGTCAAACTATAACCAGCTTTTCCGTGTCTTTGGCTTTCAGTCAAATATCCTTCGGCTTGTAGAGTTTTACCAAATTTCTCGTAGTATATCATCGGCAGGGATGCAATGGAAACAGGATGACCTCTTCTGGATTTCAATAGCTCCGTGATTTCCAGTTCTAATTTCTCAAGGGACCCAGGCGGGAACACTTGATCTTCGTCGTCAAATTGATAAGAATTAGGACCAAATATATGTTGATAGCTCTCTGGAAAATATTCTCCGTGAAAATACCTACAGTTACTTCCATGCTTACAAAAGCCCTTGTTGAAATAGTGACAAGCCTTAACCGGATAATTCACTAAAATTGGAGAATTCCTCAAACATCTATTACTCGGATTATGGAATGCGGCGGCTTCTGAACAATAATAATCACTTAGAAAACCTGATGGCCCAGAGCTGGCTAGGTCTAGCTGATCCTCCAAACCCCGGAATTGGTTTTGAAAACAGTATTCTTCAGGATTTGAATCAGAGTAAGACAATACTTTGAAAGGTGAAGTATGCACTCGCTGCTGCTTAGCAACTACCTGAGGATGCAAATAAGGATCTACCCTCCGAAGTGAAGACAAAGATGGAAATGAGCGTGGTGAAGCTGGCAGAGGGAGGGTCATGTGAAGGGACGGATCTGATATAGGGTTCGGGTTAATGGATGGAGAAATGGGAGGTGAAACAACTGGTGCTAACCTAAGTGCAGTTTTTGCTTTCTGTATCAATGTGTGGATTAAGCTATCTGGCCCTAAAGCTAACCGAATCATTTCCTGGTCAGGAAGGTCTTGTAAATAAATATATCCAATAATCTTTCGTGCAACATTTTCTGGTTCCAACAATAAGATTCTGCCATGAACAGTTTTAACAGCCTCGAAAGAATCCATTTCATAACTTGCCACTGCACACGTAAACAATAGAATGAAATGATTGAAAATGATATGCAGATATATCGAAAAATAAATAAAACTTACTAGAATTAGAGTGGTATATCTACTGAAGAAACCAAAAATAATGATAAGCTCAAATATAGATTTTCTACAGCAGGAACAGTCCATTCAGGCTCCTACTTTCTCGTCATCCAAACGAGGACTACAGGAATCTCATGTCAATTGCAAACCAAGAAAAGACAAACCTTTTAGCATGTTCGTTAATACTACTCGACAAATATTAATTACAATAAAATCTTTGTCAATTATACCAAACAGGCCCTTTAGGTACCATAATTTTTCTTATCCATCATAAATTGCATCAAAAAATAAAAATAAATGGCATTAACATCTCATAAACAAAACTTATGTACCCAGAAAAGATTATTCTAAACCAGAGAACGCAGAAAGAGAAACCATGATGACGCCTTATTTTATTCTATTGTAGTGAAAACAAAATAATTAGTCTAAAGCCACAAATAAAACATTGTTTTCAAAATAATCCACTCATGAAAAAAAACAGATTCAGCGTACACTTGTAATCTTAAAGTAAGAGGAAGAAAATGAAAATACCAGAATCAAAATGAAACAAGAACGCTAATCAAATTCCATCTCCCTACATTCACTTCTTCACTTCACTGTTTTTTTCACTGATTTTCAACTCTCTGCAGAAACTTCTGAGCATTAAAAACAGAAGGGGAACCGTTTAAGCCACATAGCAAATCACAAGAACCGATGCTTTAAAGAGTCCTCAAATTTTGGTAATTAATTTATTTACTTTGAACACCCTTTTTTATCACTTTATAATAAATTGTGAGAAAGGAAGTTTGGGAAGTTTTTGAATTTCCAGCTGGCATCTTTAATTTCTTAACAAACAAAATAAAAATCCCTGTATTTACGATGTGGTTGATGAAAGGTTGCATGTGTTCTTACAAAAGTGCCCTTGTAATTTAGCAAATTCCCATCTAATATTTAAATACATGTTAAAAAAGCAAAAAACAACATCGAAAATTCCAATATAAGGAAATTACATAGGGCCCCCCCCCCCCCGCCACCCCCCCTTTTGATGGTGATGGGGAAGTAGAAATTGTGCAATCTATATTACTTTAGGTTGTCATTAACTACTTTTCAATAAAATTCTCAATTTCGTCCAATTATCTTTGCTTATATATAAATATTAGGACTGTGCTACCTGCACAGACCCCTTTATACAGGGTCTATATAGGTGCACACACATAGAGTTCACCCCAATGTGACGGTCCTTGTACAGGCTCTGTGCAAAGGAACCTGTGCAGAGAGTTTTTTCCTAAATATTATAATATATGTGTTATATGGAACACTCGTATTAGGCAAGCTGAATTATTTTATTTTATTTTTTCATTCTTTTATTTTGAATATATCATATATATTAGGGTTAGGGTAATTTTTTCAATATATAATTATAATATCAAAATAAAAAAGGATCCAATAGTAAGCTTATATTAGATGTAGTTAAACATAAGATTTTAGTGCATCTTGATAATAGTTGATGAATTTTGTAGTTGGAAAATTAATAAAAATTACGAGTTTCATGAAATGTATAGCTATAATTAATCATTGATTTTGACTTTTATTTTTATCAAATTTTATATTCACACCAAAAAGGATATAAGTACAAACGATGAAATTATTTAGGGAAATAAATTAATATATAAATAATAAACTATGGGTATTTTAGGAAAACTGAAGGTACACTCTTGAAAGAAGAGGACGGTTTCAACCGGCAAAAAGGTTGGGCGTAACACGTCACCTTTAGAGGGAATTAGTTTTATTTTCCTTTGTTTCTTCAGATTTTTTATTTTAATTTTATTTCTTGTTAAAATAAAAGGAGGGAATGGAATTTGAAATATAGATAAAACGGTCAAATTTAGATATCATGCTCATATTGCGGGTCGGATCCGCTTTTGAAGCGGGCCATTAGTTATAAGAATCTCCACCTATTTCGCACAGAATCTTTTTATTTCGTTTTGACCATGAAGTTTCGTACTTTGTTCATCTTTGTCCCGCGTTTACTGTACAAGTACTTGAAGTTGAGGTTGACTGTTGATAAATTGTTTAAATTAAAAAAAAATGAAAATGTATTGTGTAATTGATGTCGTGTATTTATATATAACGAGAATAAAGGTTTGTTTGGCAGAGCTTTTGTCAATAAAGCTTTTTTGAAAAGAATTGTTAGTAAAACTAAAAAGTTTAATTATTTGATTGTCAATCCATAAGTGTTATCAACATATAATTAAATGTAACTCACATGACTGGTAATATTGCAAGACTAGTGTGTGTTTATCTCTATTTATGTATATGATATTCATGCTTTGGCTAAGCTTGAAGAGCTTTTCATTTGAGGAAATGTAAGCAATATTTGATTAAGGGTCGAACTCATACTATAAATGATCAAATTATAGCCTCAATGGTAGATATGATGTGATACTAATGAAATTAGGATAAATGTCATGGGCTAGATATTGAGTGTACCACGTCTGCAAGTGATCACGACCATTGATTCATCGATCTGTGTCCAAACCCATGAAAGCAAGCCAACTGATAGAGGGATAAAAGAGGACAACCTCAGTGCCTCGACTCATTCAGTCATTACATGATCTTAGATGGTCAATGATGATCCACTAGATGATCGTTGGACGATGGGACGAATAAATCATTAGGTGAATGTCAATGCTGCTAGAAAGATCCGAATGAGTTGTCTAGTCTTCAAATCCCTACGATTTCTATCGAATATCAAGGAAATCCTATGACACTTATTCCACACGAGCATAACTAATTTTTGACATGTAAGCATAATTCAAATTATACATAGAGGGAGTTCCTAAAAGTAAAATGGTACTTTTTACCATTCAATATACTTTAATTCACAAGTACATTTTACTCTTTTCACATATGAGCTTGTTTGATACAAATTTTAAGTCAATTAAAATCAACTTTTTAACCGTTATTTCACTATTATAGTCGTCATTTTTTAATTATTCTCTCACAGATAGGGCCTACTTTATTTCCAACGGTCAAAAAATCAATTAACAAAATTCCTACCAAACAAGCACTATATAAAGAATTATCAAAGAATTCTCACATTAAAGGAGCATTAGGATCGAGGAACCACAATCCTTTTTACGAATTTTCGCGAATTGATCGAGTGTCAATAAGATCGACAAGTCGATCAACATCATTAAGTACTGTAACTCTATTTATGAAATTCCCCTAACCAGTCTTCTAAGATTCTACTAAATTCGAAATAAATTAGATTTGAGTTGAGGTTAAGATTTGGAATGATGTGTTCTATAACTAAATTTAAGTCAAGATTGTAGAAAATGAAGATTTATATTCGAATTCATGTTAAGATTTGGAACGATGTATTCTATAACTAAATTTAAGTCAATATTGTATGAATTTTGTCTAATTTTGACCACTCAAAGTCTTATCCAACAAGCGTTAAAATGCCTGCATTAGGTTGCTCTTGGTGAGGTCTCGATTAGCTATACTTTCAGGCTGTATCGACCAAACAGAAGTAGCAAATGATTGCTCGATTCTACTCTTTGTTTTTTGTACTTGGTGAAACAATGAAAAAGAAATTGCACAAATTGAATTGAGTGGGTCACAATTCAATAAAAGCCAAACTCGATCACTGACAGAGTATAGTCTATGGAATTATACTAACGTATAGCATATTTACACCATATTTGACAACCCTTTCAAATCACACGAGTGGGTCCTAAGATTATTTTAAGGGGAAAATTCATAAATAGGAGTTTAAATATAGTACATTTCAAAATTAAAAAACAAAGTTTCAAATTTCAAAAACCAGATATTTCAAAATTTTATTTATAGATTAATTTATTAAACATATATTTTACTAATTAAATATATTAAGGTTACAATTCTATATAATTTGGTCACAGTTATCTAATTAATTAGTCACAAATCATCAAATTATTGATCACAACTTATTTATCGATCAAAAATCAAAAAATTTATAGGTCACAAATTATTTTTCAGTCACGAATCAAAAAATTTATAAGTCACGGATTATTTATCGATCACAGAATCAAAATATTTATTGGTCACAATTCATTTATTCATTGCAAATTATTAGATTAAATGATCACGATTAATTTTCTGGTCACGACTTAATCAATTGTGAGTCATAATCACAGTTACAGTCATAATTTTTTTAGGTCACATATTATAAATTAACTAATTATTAGTTACAATCAACCAAATAATTGGTCACGAACATTCAATACCGTCTCATTCCACCCACGACCACCACAATCACTATCACCATCACAATTACCGCCACCACCCTAATAGAACACCACCACCTCATTACAACTTGTCAACACCACAACACACGAAAAGATTCACCACTACAACTGAGCACCGCTACAATCGAAGCCACACATGAACAGATTCACTATTACAATAGAGCACCGCCACAATCAAAGCCACCACTACTTCACAACAAACTAGTCAACACAACACACCAACAAATTCACCATCGCAAAGAGCCGCTACCATCGAACAGAGCCACCAACAACAAAACTGAGTCGCCGCACCAACGCCAGATCTAACGCAATGGAGCTACCACCGAATTGCAGAAACAACCACCACAACCGTAGGCTCACACACTCCATACCCAACCACCGAACCACTATGTCACCGCTAGAACCACCACTACTAATAGCGTCGCGAACAACCAAATTCATTGCACAACTACACCACAACAAAATACCACCACTTTACCAAAAAAAAAAAAAAAAAAAACATATCCAAAAAAATCCAGATCCAAAATTATTGTCACCACCACCCCACCGCAACCACCCCACCACACCCCAAGTAGATTCACCAAAACCATCGCAAAGTAGATCGAATCAGAATTAGAAATGATGCATCCCCTACTTAAAACCACAACTTGCTTTCGTCTGTGATTTGCAATGTGAAAGAGGGTGTTTGATAGTCATTTTTGAATAGTAAATTGATGTGAAAAAAAAAAAAAAAAAAAAAAAAAAAACATATCCAAAAAAATCCAGATCCAAAATTATTGTCACCACCACCCCACCGCAACCACCCCACCACACCCCAAGTAGATTCACCAAAACCATCGCAAAGTAGATCGAATCAGAATTAGAAATGATGCATCCCCTACTTAAAACCACAACTTGCTTTCGTCTGTGATTTGCAATGTGAAAGAGGGTGTTTGATAGTCATTTTTGAATAGTAAATTGATGTGAAATGTGTGGTTGAAAAATAAGGAAGAGTTTTTGATTTACGTATAATATTATTTTAATAAAGAATGTGTAGTTGAAAAGGAGAGAGAGAAAAAAGCATTTGGAAAAAAATGACTACCAAACGGGGCCATAGAGAGAGAGCGACTATCGGCAGAGTGGTGAGAATAGAGAAAGAGGGATTTGAGGGTACAAAAAATGTAGGGTTTGAAATTGTGTAGGTAACTTAATATAAATATATATATAAATAGTTAAAAAATCTAATTTTTGAAAGAGTAAACTTAGGTATTGTTTGAGCCCCATTATTTTCTTATTAAAATGAAAAATATGATCGTTATCCATCACATCAAATCACCATATTTGAATTTTTATCTCTTGTGTGGTGCCCATAAGGCTATATTTTTTATTCTCATTTTTACAATAATGTGGCTCAAACAGAGACTTAGTATATGATTTATGAAATGGAATCTTTAAATGTATTAGTTTATGTAATTTTCACTT